AACATAGATATGACTTCATGCTGCTTTCTGTCCCAATTCTCGTATCCTCAGGTCGGTCGATCAGATGTACTAGCTGTTTTTGCGGAATTTAGTTTTTATTCTTATTTTGGTTTATTAATACAGCTTAGCCCTTCCATCCTAAAGGGTGATTTACCTCGGTACTGTGTTATAATCTCGCCATTACCCTAACCTCCCTCTGAGAGAATGCTTACCTTTTCTCTTCACTCCTTCAGGACGAACCCCCGGCGCGTCTGTGGATGAACATCGACTACACTTGCTGCGGAAGAGAGTGAGTCTGAGTTTAACATCAGGCTTTCCATCATCCAAAGATGCAGGTTATATAAAGAGGGCGCTTAGACAGGGGTAAAGAGAGAAGGACAGGAGACACGAGACAAAGGGACTTATAATCGGCTGTCTGATGCCACCGCTGTCACCCTTGCGTGTCACCTTCTAACTGTATTGTATGCAGCCCCATGACGCACACAGAAACTGTGATGCACTGTGTGTTCTGCACGCGTTTGGGGGGTCACATGGACGGCATTAACCTTGTTCCAACAATTTAGGCGGTACAGTAGCTGCGTCTGTGTGGAGTATGCACCACAGCGTGCCAGCTTTGCTGCCCGACATTTAGAGATGTTCTGGAATTCACCTGTTGTTTCTCTCCGCGGTAGCCGATTTGCCTGATTACTGGGTATGCTGTGGGATTCGGCCGATGGTGTACCCGCAGTAGCCAATCCTGCGGCATACCAGTGAGGCCTGTGTGGTAGTGAGCAGAACTGTAGTCAAAGTTGATCACGGTACTACGGCCGCGGCGGCTATACCTGGTGATATGATGTAGATCATTGGGTGGTCGCGGGTAAGGACTGGCTCAGTGGTAAAGCCGTTGTGAAAACTAGTTGAGATCAGATACAGCAAATTCGAGCCAGTTATGGTGTTTTAAAGGCATGCAGAAACTGGTATAACAAAACGCAGTTAGTGCACAGCAGACGTGTAAAGTAAATCTTAGGATAAGATGATAGTATTAGAGGCAGGGGGCGGGGGTATATTTAAGATTCAGAAGTGGCAGCGCGGAGAAGCGTCTTGTCGAGTCCGAGGACCAGAGTGAAATTCGCGAGGAATGGTTGGTCTGTTAGATCTTTGTTGCCTTTTGGGCTGGTTTCTCTGGAATGTCTTGCCCGTCGCTGTTAAGCAGGCTGCAGGAAGGTTTGCGTGCTGCGGCTCTGTCTTCTTGGGTGTTGTCCCGTCTTTGTTGTTTCTAGAAAAATTTAGTCGTGCTCTCTTGTTAGGCGACGGCGCTCTACAGTGTGCTTTCAGTGTGAAATTGCTTTGTGGTGGTTAAGAATTAGGTCCAATCCAACTCGTGGGCCACCCCTTTGAGATTTTAATCTGTGCACACGGGTTACATGTACGTCTTATTGGGTGGAGATTCCCAGTATGGAAATATTGCCACACGCCAACGATGGATTGTGCTATTAGTTTAGGCTCCGCAAGCCCGCGGCAACCGGCTCTGACACACGTGTGTGTGTCTGGGGGTGTGCTAGTGTGCAGAGGTGATCGATTCGCTCCTCGTTCCCCCTCTAAGAAGCAGGCGCAGCTGTTGGGGTTGACAGCACGAGCCCACTTTTTAAGAGCGCAGTGGAAGAAGAACCCAGGAGGGTGGGTGCGGTGTGACCAGGGAGTAACGGCACTAACCGAGGTAGACGATAGATTACTAATTTAATGGAATTACGGTGGTATCGGATTCAGTGCTGGATCTCAGGTACGTCGCTGAGGATACCGATGCCACCGATTGTCGGGCAGTATCGAGACTATTTCCGGATTACTGGTTATCGGAATCGGAAACAACTCGTACCCCACTTTACGTATCAATGAGCCTTTGGCCAAACTCACCGACTTTTCTCTTTTGATGGTGACTGACCACTGGCAGACTGGCAACCCCGACAAGACTGCAGTTTTTTGGAGGATTCTATGACCCATCAGTCGCCATCAAGAATTTGTGCGCCTTGTTTAAGGTCGCACACATCCGTCACACTGCCCATTTTTCTCTTTAACAGCATCAAGGGAGGCAAAGGATGTTTACTTGCTGCCATAATAGAGTCCACCCACTGGACAGGTGCCAGGTGACGAACCAGAGTAATCAGTGGTTTATTCACACTGTGTCGAGTGCTCATAATGTCTAACTGGCTGATGCGTTGTTGATGTATAGTGCGTGCGTGCGATTCTATATAAAGTTTAAGTATTACGAGGAATATTAAGAGTAAAGCAACCGTGATTACAGTTATTGGTTGTTTTGAGTGATGCTCAGTGTACGAGTACTCACGTTACATGGTAAGTCTGGTTACTCTCCCAAGCGCTGATTTAGTAGGTAGGGTAGTAGTATTCGTAGACTTCTAGATCTTTTTGTTGAGTTACGCTGGACGGAAAGTGGGAAGGACATTAATCGTTTAAGCTGTCGCAGTCAAGAAATGAGGCACGTGGTTGGGCTTAAGGCATGGTGCCTTTGGAATTTTTTCATAGGGTATCGCGAGGGCAGCGTAAGGAAAGCTTCTTTTTGAGACCCCTCAACTCTGTTGCAGTTTGGTTAGAGAAGAGGGCTCGGAGAAATTGGTTAGAGTTTTTTGGTGCAAGTTTCCGCGTACTTCGAAAAGAGCCTCCCAGCCAGATGCTGCGAAGACACCAAAAATGGAGGAACACAGGTGCGCAGGTAAGAAGTAGGTGAGTTCTGGATTGGTGGGGAGAACCTGGGTTGCGAGGAACTGGTGAGAACCAGCATCTGTGTGAGCTACCCAACGGATGGTGTTTGTGTCGATGGACATGGACGCAGAAACAGGACTGATCTGGTTCAGAGGCTGTCAGAGACCAGCTCAGGACTCAAAGGTCAGAGAATAATACAAAAACTGCCACATTACACAATAATATGTTTCTCATAAATATATTTTCTAACTCATAGTAAAAACATCTGCTTGGGTTCAAACTTTGTAGAACTAGAAATATTTAAAAAAAGGAAGGGGCAACAACACCGCGTTCATGTGACTACAGAAATTAAGAGTTAAATCCAGCCTCTTTGATTTTCATCTGAGCTTTATTTAAGTGAAACAAAATATTAGTACAGTTTACAGCAGCTATTCTCTAACCACTGGGCAGCTTTTCACCGATGGGCCCCAGTGCGCCATCTAGTGGGCTTTAAAATGTTTTTGGATAATTTATAAAACTAGTTATTTTTACATCTATATCTAGATAAAATAGACAATAGACAAGAATTGAAATACATAATTTAAATGACCAGTTACATTAGAATATCACCACACAACCACGACACATCATCAGGTAGAGATGAACGTGTTTTGCCACTGTTAGCTAACTAAACCCTTGGATGCAGTGACACAAAATTGATTGGTTTATGAAATGAAAAAGTCATGTGGGAGACAACCGTGCTGCAGTAAAAGCTCCAAAGCGTGTGGTGAGGAAATATGAAATGATGATATCAATTTGGATTTATAGCAGGCAGTGATGCTGAGCAGAAAGCACTGTGTGTTGAATGTGGGTCAGACGTGGGCCTTAAGTTACAAAAGGTAGAGAACCCCTGGTTTACAGTATATTGCATCACGGCCGAATACTTTGACCTTTGACCACTGACTTGAGTCAACACCTGTCTGAGACACTGAATATTATAATTTGACAGCATTGTAAATGATACATTATATTCTTTACAAAGGTAGTAGTGGTAGTAGGGCTTTTGTATTTCAGTCCTTCAGATTTAATAGGTGTCATTTATATGGTGTCCTCTGTCTCTCTGATGGTTTTACATGATGTCAGAAACAAGTAGATTTTGTCATATTATGTTTTATTCAAAAGCAACTAAATGTGACTAAAGTTGTTAGTTTGCTTTTGAATCAGTCCTGATTCATTTTCGATTTCTTTCTCCTCAGAGAAACATCAGTCTCAACCACCCCGGAAAGTGAGTAATTACACACTATTACAGCATTTAATAGTTTAATAATGAAAAGTTGAAAATGATTAAACAGTCATCTAAACAACAGGAAACCCTATTGCATTCCTAGGCTTCCTGAGTCTTTGCTGCAGTTGCCATGAGTTCAACTCTGACCTGTGGCCCTGTGCTGCATTTCATTCTGTCTCTCTCCCCCTTTCGTGTCTATCTCAAATTGCCTGAATAAATGCAAAAACAAAAAAATAAGCAATAAAAGCATTTGATCAGGTGGCTCATTCCTGCTTTTGATAGCACAGTGTTGGGGAGTAGAGAAAGTTAAATAAAAGCACAATTACTAGTAACCAGTTTATAGAAATGAATTAAATAAATTGTACTGTGTTGGGATGATCTTCAAATCTGATTTGATTAATGGAGTTGTTACAATACTCATGACTTAAATGTTTACATTAATGTAAAGAAATGATTGTTTCATCATTACAGAGATATTAGAGATATTAAATAAATGCCCTCTGATCACTTTGAATCCATCAGGAAGTAACCATGACATCACTTTTTGAGAAGCTTTTGGGAACACTGGAAGATTTAAGTTCTGGGGATCTCGAGCAATTCAAGCATGTCGCGCAATACATGAAAATGAAGGAAGTTCTCCCAAGAATCCCAAGACACCAAATGGAGATGGCCGATGGCAGAGATGAAATAGTGGAGCTGATGGTGAAGATCTACGGCCAGCAGTGTGTGGAGGTGACCAGGGAGGTTTTAAAGAAGCTGAACAGAACTGATCTGGTGGAGAGGTTGTCAGACATCAGCTCAGGATCAAAAGGTAAGTTGTGGGAAAAAACACTATTCAAATATCAAAAATGTGGTATGCAGAACGTGGTCTGTATTATTTTACTTTATTGTTACTGTTTTTTTTTTCTCCATTTGAAATACATGTGGACAGACAGACAGCAGTTTGAATTTGTGTATTATATTATCTAAAAGCATACACTGTATGCTCTAATGTCTGACGACTATAATCACTCACTTTAGATGTTTTAGCCAAGCTTGTTGCTCTATGGATCGCAATGTCAGTGTGTCTGTTTATCACTTTGGTCCAGACTGAAATATCTCAACAACAGTTGGATGGATAGCCATTCAATTTTATACAGACATTGATGGTCTCCAGAGAATAAATCCTACTATCTTTGATGATCCTCTACCATGACAAGCAGTTTGGTTAGATGACCATTATATTTGGTACACACATACATGATACTCAGAGAATTTATTAGCAAAACTACCATTTCCATCAAACTCAGCTGTACTTTGTGTTTTGCGCTAATTAGTTAATGTTAGGATGCTAACACTGATCTGATCACCGCTATATATGTATTTTTCTAGCTAGATATAGATATAAAAATAGACAATAGACAAGAATTATAATACATAATTTCAATGACCAGTTATGTTAGAATATCACCATGCAATTAAGTTACAATAGACTGAGAATGTCTGGTTACCAGTTTCCAGTTTCCAGTATATTCCAGTGCATCATGGTATACTACTACTACTACTACTAC